AGAGGCGAAGGGTGGTGGAGGCTGCCCGCGTCGGGCCTGAGCACATGGGGTCGGCTCAGAGAATCGCACCACACAGCCGATGCATGGGCGATGGTCGGCGGCGTTAGGGTGGCGCAAGCGGGGACCCCGGATCGCGCCGCAGCGCCGACGCGTCGGCGATGCGGCGCGATCCTCCGGCCCCGTCTGCTCCGACCCCGTCTGGGCGGCCTGGATCTGTGCGCGCCACCCTGTCGGGGGGTCGGACACCCAACGGGTGGGTGGGCAGAACAGTCCGCAGGCCCCACCCCATGACACCTGGGTGCTGCATGTCGGGGATGGACAGACCCCCCTTTAGCAAAACGTGGTTTAGTGAAAACGACCTGAGGCCCAAACCTGGCGGGCGCAAGCCTGGAAAATAACGGCCACGGCGCCCTCTCGAAAACCGAAAACGGATAATTCACTTATCGACGTGTCACTGTTGGGGGCTCTGTCCACCCCCGAGCATGTTCTCTTCACGCAGGGCGTTTGTGCCCGGCTTCGGGCCCCTGGGGGCCTTCACAGACCGATCCGGCTGGAGGAATGCCGCAGGAGGATGTGGGGCCCCTCGCGCTCGGGTCGCTGTCACCCCACGGGGGGGAGCACAAGGGGGATTAGGGGGGGCAAAACACACCCCAGACCTAAAACGAGGGCAAGATGAGGGTAGATCCTGATGATCACTGAGACGGCGTTGGGGATCTTCGAGAGCCGGCGGATCTACAGGATCAACCAGGCGCCGCGGCGGACTGCTCTGAAGCGATTATCCTCGTCCCAGGCCTTTGCAACAACCAGTTGTTGTTTCATACGGCTCTCTACGTCTGCTTGGGATGGTTTTGACGCGTGGGGACCAAAGACCACAAGGAATCGAAACAAAAACGCGGCCAGCGCGTTTGTTACACATGATCCTGGGTCGAGGGCTCGCAGGCCCCCCCTGCCCGGATGGGATGAGCCTCAGGGTTCCACAGGTGCCCCCCCGAGATGGGATCCGGGGGGTCGACGACGACGACGACGACAAGGACGACACAGACGACGCCGACGCCGAAGCTCAGGCCAAGCTCATGGGCGCACCCATGTGGGCTTGAGCCCCCGTCGGATTGGTACCCCCGTGAGCCGCGCGAATGCCTGGCGAATGGGATCGCTCCACCCCCCTCATGTGGTCGTGGCCTTGTGGGCGTGGCGTGGTGGAGGGTGCCTGTGCACCCCCCCTGTGGGTGTGGGGTGGTTCGTCGTCGCCGTCGTCATCGCCGTCGTCTTCCGACGTCGTCGTCGTCTTACGTCGGCGTCGGCGTCGGCGTCGGCGTCGGCGTCGTCGCCGTCGTCGGCGTCGGCCTCGGCGTCGGCGCTGGCGTCGTCGTCCTCGTGTCCCCCTCCCATCCCATCTGGGGGTGCCGTGGATCCCTGGGGGGCCCATCCCATCTGGGCGGGGGGGGAGCTGTGAGCCCTCGACCCGGGACCATGTGGCCCTCTCGGACAGCCCCCACCGTGCAGGGATGCACGCGCCTGGGGATCTGCGCACGGCTCGCTTCCCCCCGCTGCCGCCCGCCTCTGGCCGCTCCCGCTCTGTGCTCGCCGCCCGCCGCGGGCCCCCCCCCGCCTGCTTCCGGCGCCGGCACGCCGCCGAGACCGCGAAGGCGCGGCTGATTGCTGCTTGGAGCGCGCGCTCGGCGCTTCGGCCTCCGGAGGCCGTGTGCGCGTTACCCGGCGGCCATCCCAAAGGCCATGCGAGACCCAACGGCACAGTTCAGGGGGCCCACGCGGCGGAACAAGAATGCGTTGGACGAAATACAGTAGGAGCTCGACCACAAGACACCCTCCACAAGAAGCCCGACCCTGAGACCTCAGGACATCCACTGATGTTTGGTGTGGGAGCGGTTACGCTTTCCACAGCAGAAACCATCGAAGCCCAAGAAACCCAGGGAACCCTGGAGGCAAGCAGGGTGTCTTGGCATGGGTTTCCACTGCAGCTTCCAACGAGCATCGGCAGGTCCGATGTTGCCCCACATCCTCTGGGTGCGCCGAAGAGGGGGGGAGGTAACGAAGAGGGGAGCTACAAAGCATCATCACCCGAAACTCTGCGAGGACGGGGGGTAGGGGACATAGTCAGGGAAGAAGAGGGGGCCTTCGTACACGGGAGCTTTCATGGCTCGTGCCCACCCTTCCCAAGTCCTCACCCCCCTCGTGACGCCCCCGGATCTTGACAAACATGACGTCCGGGCCTGGCTCGGCGCCGACACTGCACTTGCTGGCCGACAGCGGGCCCCTGTGTGCATAACTTATTGAGAACCACCGTCGTCGTAAAAACCACCCTATGCTAACACAACCATCTAGCTTTGTTGATGCACCCGAAATGAAGGGATCAAGCAGGGCGTGGCTGCTTGGCAAAAGCTCTGGGGCTGTTCAATAAACGCCAGTGATCGGGGTCGGGGAAGTCTTCCCACATACGAAACGGAAGCCGCCGCCACCGAGATCCCATCGGAGGGGCGGGGGGCGACCCGTGACGGTGGCGCGCCCGAGCGACTCATAATGCGCGACGACGCTCCTGGGTCGCCCCCCCCATACACACACACCCACCCCCACCCCGATGGTTCTCGGTGGCCGTGGTTCCTGTTTCTCCTCCGACTTTCTCCAGCAGCAACGAGAGACATGGACAGAGCCGGACAGGGATGCAGCGGGGCTCTCCGAGATCCAGCGGCTCTGGACGTATATCGGGCGCCGCGGCGCTCGCAGAGCCTCGTGGAACGGTGTGCGCACTCCTGCCCTGCTCCGCCCCGCTCCCTCGAGGACGCGGCAACCAACTGGTGTTGAGCAGGGACCGACCGTCCCGGCATCCCTATAGTCATACCACGAAATGTTCTTAGAACCCAGGAATGTTCTTATAACAAAAACAGCACTCTTAGAACAGAAGCCCGATGTGTTAAAACAAGACAGTCCCAGCCAGAAATGTTCTATAAACATTTCGTGGGAACCACAAGAGGTTCTGAGAACATTGCTTGGTGGGGCTATAGGGGAGCCGGGACGCTTCGCCACTGCTTGGGGGTGAGCACACCCCCGGGCCGGCCGAGGCCCCACCGCGAAGCTCGGCCGGCCGCCCAGCAGCTCCCGAGGCCCGGGCCGGCGGAGGGCTGCAGACGGTGGGCATCGGCCCCACGATGGCGCCGGGGCCAGGGCCGGCCAAGAGGGGATCGGCGAGCGAAGAGCACACGCACCCACACCCACAGGGCGGCGGAGGGGGGGCCATGGGTGCACGTGGTCGGATGGGACTCCCCGCTCGAACGGGGGCCTGCCCAGGGGTCCGACAGCCCGCACCCCTGCTGCCCTAGCCAGCCCTCCTTCTTCCGACCCCCCCATGGGTCTGGGTGTGTGTGTGTGTCTTCGTTCGTCAGGGATTGGCTGACCCCCAATAGCGCTGACCCCCGCTACGTGAGTCCCGGCGTTTCCTCCCCCGACTTCTCCCAGTCCTCCTCGTCCGCCTGGTGGAAATACATGTGGGGGCCTCGGCGCAGAGACCGCGCGAGGAGGTAGATGCGGTAGGGCGCGAGCAAAACGTCGCTCTTGCTTTGAATACTGAATGCTGCTTGCGGTTTTTGTTTTGTTTTGTGTTTTCTTTTTTCGTTGAAAGATGGGAAAACGAACACGGCGCCACCCCCCAAACATCCCGTCTCGTTTCAGACCGTCGCCCGCGAAAACGAAGACAGAACGGCCTCGCGCGCTGGCGCCCGAGAGCACAAAAAACTGGGAAACGACAACATCGGCACGCGCACACATCGCAAAATCTGAAGGCGCCCTGGGACACACAAACAAACACACACACACACAAATCAAAGGATTCCCCATAGTTTCCCAGATCTTCTTGTTTTTTTTTTTATCTTCCCCCCAAATTCATCTATTTTCCAATATTTTCCTGGGAATCGACGATTTATTGTGTCTGTGTGTGTTTCCCCCTCCTGAAAAAAACAACATCTCGCTCGCGCCCTGATATGCAGAGCTTCGCTGTCCGGGTAGATCGGCGGCGCCGCGGCCCGTCGCGGGGGGAGAGGTTACCCCCCCGACCAGCCCGCGCGCGCCCGGGGTGGGCGCGGCGCGATGGAGAGCACGTGGCAGGGGTCTTGAGCCAAGCTGCGGGTGTCAGACCTCGGCGTGCCGCTGGAGTGAAGTCGGGCGTGTCCCCCTACAGGGGGATTTTCGACGAAAAATCAAACATACCCCAAGACTATTCCAAAATTTTCGAAAAAGTCTCAAGAAAAATAGTCCACCGACTATTTTTTGACTATTTTTTTATGTTCCCCCTGTCGAGGGACAGGCCCGACTTCAGGCTAGAGGGCTCCTGGATGGGGTGCGGGCAGGCGGGGTCCGAGAACCGCGCCGCATCGCCGGTGCATCGCCAGTGCATCGCCGATTCGTCGCCGACGTGTCGGCGGTGCAGCGGCGACGTCCGCGTGCACAAGATCGGGCTTCACATCGAGCCGCATTGCCGATGCATCGGCGATGCGGAGCGATCCTCCGATCCCATCTGCTCCAGCCCCATCTGCGATGCCTAGAGTCGCGCACCTCTCGACACCATCCCCCGGGAGCGTATATGCGGGTCGCTTGCTGGATGGCTCATGTGGTGTTGCATTTTCGGAGGAGCGTGTCTGCCCCACCGCGCCGGTATACGCATCGAGCCCGCGACGACTCCGCGTCGTCACGCAGAGTCCGCGTCGAAGGTACATCACACTCGCTTCGAATCCGCGGGGGGGGAAAACGAAGAGACAGCAATCTGCCGCACCGACCATGCCCCCCAAAAAATGCAACGCACCCCCGGGATGGCGGAACTTCCGCGCGACTCCTGCATACCAGGGTCCCCACGTGTCCACCTCTGGTCCGGGTGTGGGCCTCCTGGGGCCAGACACATACAAGAAGGGCGCCAGCACACACACACACACACACACCAAAGACACACATCAGTCGGAGACGCGGCCCGCCCACGACGGCGGCGGCGACGGCGACGGCGTCGAGCCCAAGTGGTCGCGCGGGCGCAGGCGTTCGACGTCGGCGGCGTTGGGAGAGGCCGGGGGCGGGGAGCACAAGGGCTCTTGCTGCACCTCCAGGGCCCCATGCCTGGCCGAAGCCCGAGCGCTTGGCCCCGAGACTGGGGTGCCCAGCAGAAGTTTCGGGGAAGCCATGCGCTGTTGTGTCAGACTGAGTTCAATTAAGCCGATACCAGCTGAAACTAAGATCTTGAAGCATCTGCCACACGAACTTCCATACCGTATCATATCCTTGAGCCCTTCCGATACCTCCCCCCTGGCCAATTTGCGTCACTTACCTTTTAGCCAGCTTCGGTATCAAAGCGCTTGCGCTGGATGCAACAAATGTAAGATTGTGTTGCCAACGATTGCGCTGGCGAACTCCAAACACTTCCCCTGGCCATTTTCGTTATCCCAGCGCTTTCGCAGGATGCAAGGCAACTGTGTTGTTGTGTCGCAAGAACTTCCAAATCTTTGTGTTGGGCATATCAGGCCCTCCTTTCTCTTCCTCTGTCGGATCGATCTCGGCACACCCCTCACACGTTTCGCGGCCCCGTAAGGAGCTCCACCCAAAGCCCCAGTGTCAGCGGTTGCATGCCGCGTCGGTCCATTCGGGCACCACGCGCTTCGTGGCCCAATAGGAGGAACTCCACCGGAGGCCTCATCATAGGCAACGGTCCCATGCCTTCTCGGGTCGACTTCAGCACACCCCATCACACCCTTCGTGGCCTTATAGGGAGCTCCACCGACAGCCCCAGCGGCAACGGTCGAACGGCGGTACTGACCCATCTCAGCACACCTCTCACACGCTTCGCGGCAGCGGTCGCATGATGGCATTCTAGTGGCCAGAAGCACGCCCAGATGGAACAACATCAGATCGTCGGAGATCTAGGCAAGAGGGCCGGGACCTATCCTGGGGAGGATCTCGAGGAGAATCCGGCCGTGGTGGCGAGGAGCCTCCACGACGAGCGGCGGTACCGGCATCTTTCTGTTTCTGGAAGCCCCTCCTCTGCCACTGCGCCGCGCAGGGGGCCTCGCCCCCTTCGCGAGCGCGCGCACGGAGCGCGCGCGGCGCGCGGTATACCCAACCTGGCCGCGCGGAGCGCCGCAGAGGCGCGGCGTCGGCGAAAGGGGCCGCCGTGGTGGATCTTCCTGGGCCGGCGTGGCGGGCGGGGGAGCGAGGCGAGCGGCGAGGGAGGAGGCCAGAGGGCTGCGGAGGAGGAGCCAGGCGTCGCAGTGGAGGTGGGGGGGGGGAAGGAAGGAGGGAGGAGGGCGAGGGATAGAGGAAGGCGGGAGGGAGACAGAGCAGAGGCGAGGACCCCCGCGAGGGTGGGGCGCGCCAGCATGAGCCGCGGATTGAAGAACATATCGTCTGATGGCTGACGATGTCTGGGAGCAAACATCGGACGAGGATAAATCGAAGATCTCTGAGATACGGCGGCTCTGAAGGATATCTCGGACGCCGCGCCCTTCTCAGAACGTTCTGGAACGCTCTGAAGCGCTCTGGAACGCTCTGGAACGGATTTAGCCTCGTCCTAGCCTCGTCCGAAAGGGGGGGAGGGGGAGCACCGAAGTCGGTACCACGGAAGCGCGTGAGAGCGGGGCCCAAACTGGCTGCATGCAGCAGTGTTCATAACACCCTTTTCCCTGACCCTCCCCCCTCGTCAGACCCAGGAGGGACTGTCCGTTCCGATCGCGGCCGTGTCTCCTGAACTTCAGCCACTCTATGAGAAGCGGCGGCTGGGACCTCCAGGGGCGAGGATGTCTGGGCATGCGTTTGCCGCGTTCGTCGGGGCAGTCTGCTGCGGTCTCCGGCGACCCCCTGGCAAGCTTCGGAGGCTCCCGGCACGGAGGCCAGACGGCTGCGCTTCGCCAGGAGGCCACGATCGCACAACCAACCCCCCAACACACAACACCTCCCTCGCCCACCCTCCCTCAGGCGAAGGCTCCACTCGACGGGGGGAAGTAACGACGTCGAACCAGTGAGCTGGCAGCGGGGAACCTCAGCGCTCAGCCCTACTCGTCATCAGCGGCCGGGGTGTTCTCGCTGTTGAAGTGGTCCTGGCTCGCAAGCTCCCTGGACCTCCTCACCTCTGCAGCTGCGTCGCTGTCGTCGCCGGTGGACACAGGCCCGTCGCGGGCGTCGTCGTTGGCAAGGAACTGGTGCACCGAGTAGTCCGCGCTGTCCTCGTTGCGCGCGTTCATCTCGCGGTCGCCGTACTCGTACCCGTCCCCGTAGTCGTCACCGGGCATCTGGCGCCTGCTCTTGCGCTTCTTCGCCTTGAGCTGGATGAAGTCGTCATCAGCGGCCGGGGTGTTCTCGCTGTTGAAGTGGTCCTGGCTCGCAAGCTCCCTGGACCTCCTCACCTCTGCAGCTGCGTCGCTGTCGTCGCCGGTGGACACAGGCCCGTCGCGGGCGTCGTCGTTGGCCAAGAACTGGTGCACCGAGTAGTCCGCGCTGTCCTCGTTGCGCGCGTTCATCTCGCGGTCGCCGTACTCGTACCCGTCCCCGTAGTCGTCACCGGGCATCTGGCGCCTGCTCTTGCGCTTCTTCGCCTTGAGCTGGATGAAGTCGTCATCAGCGGCTGGGGTATTCTCGCTGTTGAAGTGGTCCTGGCTTGCAAGCTCCCTGGACCTCCTCACCTCTGCAGCTGCGTCGCTGTCGTCGCCAGTGGACACAGGCCCGTCGCGGGCGTCGTCGTTGGCCAAGAACTGGTGCACCGAGTAGTCCGCGCTGTCCTCGTTGCGCGCGTTCATCTCGCGGTCGCCGTACTCGTACCCGTCCCCGTAGTCGTCACCGGGCATCTGGCGCCTGCCCTTGCGCTTCTTCGCCTTGAGCTGGATGAAGTCGTCATCAGCGGCCGGGGTGTTCTCGCTGTTGAAGTGATCCTGGCTCGCAAGCTCCCTGGACCTCCTCACCTCTGCAGCTGCGTCGCTGTCGTCGCCGGTGGACACAGGCCCGTCGCGGGCGTCGTCGTTGGCCAAGAACTGGTGCACCGAGTAGTCCGCGCTGTCCTCGTTGCGCGCGTTCATCTCGCGGTCGCCGTACTCGTACCCGTCCCCGTAGTCGTCACCGGGCATCTGGCGCCTGCTCTTGCGCTTCTTCGCCTTGAGCTGGATGAAGTCGTCATCAGCGGCCGGGGTGTTCTCGCTGTTGAAGTGGTCCTGGCTCGCAAGCTCCCTGGACCTCCTCACCTCCGCAGCTGCGTCGCTGTCGTCGCCGGTGGACACAGGCCCGTCGCGGGCGTCGTCGTTGGCCAAGAACTGGTGCACCGAGTAGTCCGCGCTGTCCTCGTTGCGCGCGTTCATCTCGCGGTCGCCGTACTCGTACCCGTCCCCATAGTCGTCACCGGGCATCTGGCGACTGCTTGTGTGTCTCTTGGACGATTGACTGAGCTGAGCAAAGGCATCGCGGCCCGCTCGCTTCTTGGAGCTTCTCGCCTCGGACGCAGCGACAGCGCCAATGTCAAGCGCATCGTCAACGGTCAAGAATCTCGCTGGCTGGTGGAGGTCGCTCGCTCTGCCGCCGTACACATACCCGTCCAAATCGTACCAAAGCGATTCCTTTTGGCATGCAGGAAACAAGTCCTCCGGGAAACGGGTCCTCGAACCTGCAACCTGCCCCTGAGATCAAGTTTCCATCCTGCGAGAAGTTCTTTGAAGGCCAGAGCGCTTTTCAGCCCCAAATCGGGGGAAATCCTCCCGGGACCCGATTCCCTCAGGACCCCTTTCCTTCATGGCGATTCCTTGCTGCTGCCTGCGCTGCGCAGCCGCGTGGAGCCCACCTCGAGGGCCAGCTGGGAGAGCAGCAACCCTTGCACGGCCGCCGAGAACCGGGACGCCATTGTCTGCGATGTTGATGCGCGCGCCCTGCGGAAGCTGATGTGCCCTGTCTGTGGCTTCAGTAAACGGGGGGCTGAGGCAGCCTGCAGCACCTTGAGCCAACTCGCCCTGAAACCATAACATGTTGCCGCCTCACGTTTGCTTCCGCCGCCTTCCGCCCACCTTCTGCCCGCTTCCGACGGCGGCGCCGCCCTCGTTGTACTTCCGCCAGCCTCCGCCGAGGCCGAGGCGCGCCAGAGGCTGTGCCATTTCCTTCGTCCGTTCCGATCGCGGCCGTGTCTCCTGAACTTCAGCCACTCTATGAGAAGCGGCGGCTGGGACCTCCAGGGGCGAAGATGTCTGGGCATGCGTTTGCCGCGTTCGTCGGGGCAGTCTGCCGCGGTCTCCGGCGACCCCCTGGCAAGCTTCGGAGGCTCCCGGCACGGAGGCCAGACGGCTGCGCTTCGCCAGGAGGCCACGATCGCACAACCAACCCCCCAACACACAACACCTCCCTCGCCCACCCTCCCTCAGGCGAAGGCTCCACTCGACGGGGGGAAGTAACGACGTCGAACCAGTGAGCTGGCAGCGGGGAACCTCAGCGCTCAGCCCTACTCGTCATCAGCGGCCGGGGTGTTCTCGCTGTTGAAGTGGTCCTGGCTCGCAAGCTCCCTGGACCTCCTCACCTCTGCAGCTGCGTCGCTGTCGTCGCCGGTGGACACAGGCCCGTCGCGGGCGTCGTCGTTGGCCAAGAACTGGTGCACCGAGTAGTCCGCGCTGTCCTCGTTGCGCGCGTTCATCTCGCGGTCGCCGTACTCGTACCCGTCCCCGTAGTCGTCACCGGGCATCTGGCGCCTGCTCTTGCGCTTCTTCGCCTTGAGCTGGATGAAGTCGTCATCAGCGGCCGGGGTGTTCTCGCTGTTGAAGTGGTCCTGGCTCGCAAGCTCCCTGGACCTCCTCACCTCTGCAGCTGCGTCGCTGTCGTCGCCGGTGGACACAGGCCCGTCGCGGGCGTCGTCGTTGGCCAAGAACTGGTGCACCGAGTAGTCCGCGCTGTCCTCGTTGCGCGCGTTCATCTCGCGATCGCCGTACTCGTACCCGTCCCCGTAGTCGTCACCGGGCATCTGGCGCCTGCTCTTGCGCTTCTTCGCCTTGAGCTGGATGAAGTCGTCATCAGCGGCTGGGGTGTTCTCGCTGTTGAAGTGGTCCTGGCTCGCAAGCTCCCTGGACCTCCTCACCTCTGCAGCTGCGTCGCTGTCGTCGCCGGTGGACACAGGCCCGTCGCGGGCGTCGTCGTTGGCCAGAAACTGGTGCACCGAGTAGTCTGCGCTGTCCTCGTTGCGCGCGTTCATCTCGCGGTCGCCGTACTCGTACCCGTCCCCGTAGTCGTCACCGGGCATCTGGCGCCTGCTCTTGCGCTTCTTCGCCTTGAGCTGGATGAAGTCGTCATCAGCGGCTGGGGTGTTCTCGCTGTTGAAGTGGTCCTGGCTCGCAAGCTCCCTGGACCTCCTCACCTCTGCAGCTGCGTCGCTGTCGTCGCCGGTGGACACAGGCCCGTCGCGGGCGTCGTCGTTGGCCAAGAACTGGTGCACCGAGTAGTCCGCGCTGTCCTCGTTGCGCGCGTTCATCTCGCGATCGCCGTACTCGTACCCGTCCCCGTAGTCGTCACCGGGCATCTGGCGCCTGCTCTTGCGCTTCTTCGCCTTGAGCTGGATGAAGTCGTCATCAGCGGCTGGGGTGTTCTCGCTGTTGAAGTGGTCCTGGCTCGCAAGCTCCCTGGACCTCCTCACCTCTGCAGCTGCGTCGCTGTCGTCGCCGGTGGACACAGGCCCGTCGCGGGCGTCGTCGTTGGCCAAGAACTGGTGCACCGAGTAGTCCGCGCTGTCCTCGTTGCGCGCGTTCATCTCGCGATCGCCGTACTCGTACCCGTCCCCATAGTCGTCACCGGGCATCTGGCGCCTGCTTGTGTGCCTCGTGGACGCTTGACTGAGCTGAGCGAATGCATCGCGGCCCGCTCGCTTCTTGGAGCTTCTCGCCTCGGACGCAGCGACAGCGCCAATGTCAAGCGCATCGTCAACGGTCAGGAACCTCGCTGGCTGGTGGAGGTCGCTCGCTCTGCCGCCGTAAACGTACCCGTCCAAATCGTACCAAAGCGATTCCTTTTGGCATGCAGGAAACAAGTCCTCAGGGAAACGGGTCCTCGAACCTGCAACCTGCCCCTGAGATCAAGTTTCCATCCTGCGAGAAGTTCTTTGAAGGCCAGGGCGCTTTTCAGCCCCAAATCGGGGGAAATCCTCCCGGGACCCGATTCCCTCAGGACCCCTTTCCTTCATGGCGATTCCTTGCTGCTGCCTGCGCTGCGCAGCCGCGTGGAGCCCACCTCGAGGGCCAGCTGGGAGAGCAGCAACCCTTGCACGGCCGCCGAGAACCGGGACGCCATTGTCTGCGATGTTGATGCGCGCGCCCTGCGGAAGCTGATGTGCCCTGTCTGTGGCTTCAGTAAACGGGGGGCTGAGACGGCCTGCAGCACCTTGAGCCAACTCGCCCTGAAACCATAACATTCGGCTATACGCAAGAGTGACCCTGGGTAAGAGTGACCTTTGGTGCGCGACTTTTTGGGGGCCGCGGGGGGACCAAACCTGGGCGCGCAAGTAGCTGCAGCTGCTTCGTCTTCAGCCACCTGGGGACCCATCTGTGCCCGCACCAAAGGTCACTCCGGCGAAAGGTCACTCCTTACGGCTAGTCGAAAGATGTTGCCGCCTCACTTTTGCTTCCGCCGCCTTCCGCCCACCTTCTGCCCGCTTCCGACGGCGGCACCGCCGCCGTTGTACTTCCGCCAGCCTCCGCCGAGGCCGAGGCGCGCCAGAGGCTGTGCCATTTCCTGGAAAACAGGGACTGAAACGAATACGGCGCAGGGAGCAGCAGCAGCAGCTCTGCGTGGCAATCTGCCCGACGTCGGTGGCAACCCCATGATGACAGTGGCGACCGGGCCCCACACTACTGAAAAGGGCGAGATGGGTAACTGGCGCGACCCCACCAAGCAGAGCGGCCAAGGTCAAGACCCTGCGGGCGGGGCTCTTTGGGCAACCGCCGCAACGCCAGTATTCAGGGCACCCGAGGCCAGGACCTCGTGAGCGGGTCCCTACGAGTGGCCAGCGCAGCCTTACCTCAGAGGGCAACTCTGGCCAAGTCTCCATGGGCGGGCCCCAGTGGGCAGCCATCTCCACCCCGGTACCCAGAGCAGCAGACGGGGCGCGCCAGCATGAACCGCGGATTGAAAAATATCTCGTCGGATGTCTGACGATGTCTGGGAGCAAAGGAGGATAACATCGGGAGAGGAACAATCGACAACCACAGCACACCCCAACACGCCCAGCACCCAACGCAACGTCAACAGTGCGGACCCCGTCGGCGAGGCCCGTGGACCAGCCGCCGACGCATCGACACGGGGGGCAGCCCTGTGGAGGCCACGTCTCAGCCTCTTCGTGTCAGCGCTGTTGATCGAATCGGCGTTTCGCCTCGTACCTACCTGCAATGCCCGCTCTCAACTAACATCTCCACTGCGGTGAACCGTGGTCTTGCGTTGACTAACAATTAGTGGTTTGGCATATGTAAGGCAGATGCCTGTTAACTATAGGTGTAACGTCGCTGCACGCA